AGGGCCAAGCTCTGCCTAATATATAAAATGCTCCCTCTGGCGGGCACTTTGAATGTGGTTCCCGCCACAGTAATGATTACACCACTGAGACGTATGTGTTAGTGAAGAACACGGAGCTGCTGGAAGAACATGATAGAGCTGGTTGATTAATTAAGAGTGAGGAGCCGTTGGGTGAAGATCATAGAGTTATTAGAGTAACAATAAAGCTGTTGGATGAACTTCATACAGTTGTTGGATGTGCAACATAGAGGCCAGCTGGATGAGCAACATATTGCAATTGGTGAACAGAGTAGAGCACAAGGATGAATGACATAGAACAGTTAAATGAAGGACATAGATCAGTTGTAATAATAACATAGAGCAGTGGGTGAACAACAGCTGGACGAACGACATAGAATATCGAGATGAAGAACACAGGGCTTCGGGATGAACAACATTAACAACTGGCAACATTTATCTGCTGAATGAACAATATTCAGCAGTTGAATGAACAACATGGAGTAGCTGGATGAACAACATGGAGTAGCTGGATGAACAACATGGAGTAGCTGGATGAACAACATGGAGTAGCTGGATGAACAACATGGAGTAGCTGGATGAACAACATGGAGTAGCTGGATGAACAACATGGAGTAGCTGGATGAACAACATGGAGTAGCTGGATGAACAACATGGAGTAGCTGGATGAACAACATGGAGTAGCTGGATGAACAACATGGAGTAGCTGGATGAACAACATGGAGTAGCTGGATGAACAACATGGAGTAGCTGGATGAACAACATGGAGTAGCTGGATGAACAACATGGAGTAGCTGGATGAACAACATGGAGTAGCTGGATGAACAACATGGAGTAGCTGGATGAACAACATGGAGTAGCTGGATGAACAACATAAAGAAGTTGGATTAAAAAGATGGTGCAGCTGGATGAAAAAAACAGAGCAGTTGGATGAACAACATATACATGCTGGATGAACAACTTAGAACAGCTGGATGAACAACACAGAGCAGTTGGATGAACAACAGAGAACTGTTGGATTAATAATATAGACCTGCTGGATGAACAGCAGAGAACTATTGGATGAATAACATAGACCTGCTGGATGAACAGCAGAGAACTGTTGGATGAACACAATAAGCCGGGAACTATTGGGCTTGGTAATAAAAGTGACAAGTAATATTGATCTAAGTCGGCAGTGTTGAGGCGCTCAAATAGGCCTATGGAATTCGTTTGCTTCATTTTTACATCATTAGATATTCGGTCCTGGAAAGTCATATCCTTACACAGTTTGATCACCAGACTTGAGGAAGGATATTGACAGATTTTGGAACGTTTCTCATATATCCTCGAAAATGTTCAACATAAATCGTGGAAAATATTCAAAATAAATCCTGGAAATATTTCAAAATAAATCCAGGAATATGATCATAAATCCTGGGAAATATTCGACATAAATCCTTGAAAATATTCGACATAAATCCTTGAAAATATTCGACATAAATCCTTGAAAATGTTCTTTATAAATGCATGATAATGTTTCTCATAAATGCAGGAAAATGTGATATTATGACAAAAACAACCCGCTTAAAGGGACGAATTTACCCGGGTCAGCAAACCCGATATTAACGGTGGTCACTGTAAGTATGTATCGCAAGTGGTGATAATGTTAGTGCGGGTCACCACTATACTGTGGGTCACTCACACACAACAGGCAGTACACAGCAGGCTGTACACAACAGGCTGTACACAACAGGCTGTACACAACAGGCTGTACACAACCGGCTGTACACAACAGGCTGTACACAACAGGCTGTACACAACAGGCTGTACACAACAGGCTGTACACAACAGGCTGTACGCAACAGGCTGTCCAGGCTCACACACAACTACTGTACAAAATGAAGGCAGATAGTTTCAGTTGACCGAAACAAAAAGGTGTGTCTGTTGAGCAGTGACAATAATCAGGACAAACGAGTCCAGTTAAAACAACATGGTATATACGGCTCACCACAGCCCGGGCAGCTTCTTGTTCCTGGTAGCGAATCTTAAACAACATCAAAAGAGACCGGCAACACTTAAATAAAAGAGAGTTAAATAGTTTGCTTCGTTTAAACCCACTGATCACTTGTGGTTTGGATTAATGAATATTCCTTAATATGTTTACAGTGTATAAGGTGAAACATTTTGTCCCTGTGTGTCCTCACCTACATGTGCTTACTGGGTCAAGGCTAGTTTCCTAGCCCTGCCTCCGTATGTTATTAGATTAATGCAATGACTCATTTCTCGCGCTTTTATCATATTTACATTTAAAACTTTGAATGTAACTAGTTTCAGCGACTTCTACATATCCTTCCCGGCTTGGTGGCTTCTTTGATAATTACTTACTACTTACATCTACCCTATTCCACTTATTAACAGCTCTAACACTAACAAATATTGTCTGACATCTCTCTGATTCATTTGCGTCTCTAGTTTCCATTTATGACCCCTCGCTCTGTTGTTCCTTGCTTTGAACAATGCTGCTTTGAATACTTTGTTAATTTCCTTTAAAATCGTTTATGTTATCATGTCCCCCTTATCTCTTCTCTCCTCCAATTTGGTAAGGTCCAGTTGTATCAGTCTTTCCTCTTAGCTCAGTTCCTTTTTCTCTGCTCACCTTAGACCACCCAAGGGGCGCAAGAAGGAAAGAAAATGGGGAGAGATATGAATATAATTAAGGTGTACATTGATACTGGAAATGAGGAAATTTTGGAAGAGTGTAAACTGGGGGGGAACGTTTTTCAATTGTGTAGAAGCATGGCATTAGGATGACCTCAAACAGGGCGCCAAGTATGTAGGAGGAGATTAAGGCACTGAAGGAGATAGATCAGGTAAAATGTTTTTCGAAACTCGAAATGAAACGGTCCTGGAACTGTGCAAGAGGAGCCAGATAAGGCGAGTGGAAACCTTCTTGGCTTCGTTCTGAGGCGTGACAAGGTAGCAGACAGGCGTCGGGCACTGCGGGCAAGGTTGGGAGAGAAAAGTGCAGAAGAAGAGAAAGATGCAGAGACCCAGCATGAGGGACAGGAAACATCCTGTCTCCATCAAGGAGAAAATGAGTCTCAGCACCAGAATGATGAGAGTGAAAGGCCGTAAGAAACTGAGAAAGAAATGGATGTTACGACCAATGATGATGGAACCAGCATGGGCTGAAGGACTAGCAGGGAAGGCAGCCTTGAAAGCAGCGGTTGAAACAAGAAGCGAGTGAAGCATAGGCACAACGTGAAAAGGAAGAGAGCCACGTACTACATGGGAAAAAAAAGAGAGAGGCACAAGTGCACTGCGAGAAAGGAGAGAAACAATTACAACATGAATGGGTGGACAGACAATTCCAACTTGAGAAGTTGAAGCTTGAGCCGAGTATGACGACTGAAAGCTACAGCCGAGCGAGTGAAAACCAAAACCGAACAAGAAAAAGCATTAGTCGAACAATAGAAACCGAAGGCTGAACAAGAGAAAGCGAAAGCCGAGCAAGTGAGATTCAAAGCTGAGCAAGGGAAAGCTAAAGCACAACAAGAGAGAGAGAGAGAGAGAGAGAGAGAGAGAGAGAGAGAGAGAGAGCATTGAGACAGCACGAAAGAAAGACATAACGGAACACCAGAGCAGCCAAGCTAAGGTGAAGAGCAACCATAACGTTGGTGGAGTGAGGTGGGCAGACAACAGAGTAGAACAGAGAGGTATAATATACCGTGTATGAACCCACAGTTCGGACTATACGGCAACAGGTACAAGAATAATACAAGAATAATACAAGTACAAGAAATCAGTTACACTGATTTTGATTGTTGCCGCCGGAGGAGGCTAGTTTATTGTGTACCCCATACCCATCCTGTGAGCGGTAGCGCAAAAAACATTACAGAGGACACAAAAGGTCTTTATCAGACCTCTACGGATATTATTACATAAACAATTTCATCTATTCTTCACACCTTATAAATACAATGTCAGCTAGTTACAGAGAATGTTCTATTTCAAGAGCTATATATTTACAGTAAGTCATTATACAAAAAATGATTGGTCTTATCGTTAATACATAAATGTTTGAGAAATGGCGATATTACAGAGTCATAGGGAAGCTGCTGTTTATTATTAGTCTTCACAATACACTACTTGTTTCTTAATCTCATATGTTGTGTATCTACTGGGAGTCAAATATGGATACAGCTCAAGGATTTCAGGTATTTTTCCTTAGTAATAAGATAGGTTGCCATATTATACAACGTGAGTTAAGATTTATCTCTAAATGGCTCAATTTTACTACAATCCAGAGATACTTATAGTCAAGTCTTATTCGAGCTGTGACAACATCTATTAATATACTGACTTTGTTACTTGCCCCATACACATGTTTTACTTCACACATTTAATTGTGATAAACAATGAACCTGCTAGTTCCAGTTTGCACTGTTCTACTTTCTTCAAATTCATCCAGACGTTCTTGACTAATGACACTTTTAAGGGACCTATTGCCACACTAGGATACAACAGATCCGGGACCAGGACAGCAGGGAAGCCTAGCGCACTGGTTGAGAAATAACAGAATTCTCAGTTAAATAGAAAAACGAGGACGGAAGGAAGAAATGTTAACTCATCGAGCCAAGGAAGGAATAGATTCCAGGGACGAGATTACAACAAGATGTTTTTTAGTGTAAATAACTGGAATATGTTGCAGTGATAGGCCCAGAGAACGAGGTATCGTTAGCAGTGGTAGAACCAGTGAAGACTCATGTGGGAGTGATGAGACTGCCACTCGAACAACAGATAAAGAAAGACTTTGACGCAAAGACCATCGACATTCGGTCTATAACGTTGAATGAATGTTAGTAGAACATTATTTTGCATACTGAGAGAGAACAGAAAGAGCGAGAGAAAATGGTTGCAGGCGTTCAAGTAGTTGCAGATGTTCTATCAATCACAGGTTCACCAAAGTTACAGGTGTGCAAGATGTCGCAGATATTTATTTAGTTGTACAAGCTCAAGTAGTCACAGGTGCTCATGTGGTCACAGGTGCTCATGTGGTCACAGGTGCTCATGTGGTCACAGGTGCTCATGTGGTCACAGGTGCTCATGTGGTCACAGGTGCTCACGTGGTCACAGGTGCTCATGTGGTCGCAGGTGCTCATGTGGTCACAGGTGCTCATGTGGTCACAGGTGCTCATGTGGTCACAGGTGCTCATGTGGTCACAGGTGCTCACGTGGTCACAGGTGCTCACGTGGTCACAGGTGCTCATGTGGTCACAGGTGCTCATGTGGTCACAGGTGCTCATGTGGTCACAGGTGCTCATGTGGTCACAGGTGCTCACGTGGTCACAGGTGCTCATGTGGTCGCAGGTGCTCAAGTAGTAGCAGAGGTTCAAGACTACACTACTTTCGACTATATACTCAGCTTCACATCAAATCCACGGAATGTCACATCATGCACAATCACCTGAGAATCGAGTTTTATTCATGTCAACTTCTTTATGGCACTTGCCGCTAACATTTCCTGTTCAGCTTATCCATCATTCTTGGAAAACATTGTTCATTATAATATATTAGAATAAATAATGCAGTAGAAGAACTTAATTAAGGTAAACAATAATAGGCTCATTCTGTTTATCATTGTGTTAGAAGCGGGTTATAAGAAGTTGGTATTGCGTACAGTCTTGTAATTAAGTTATTACATTAATGCGTATTGTTATTACAATTAATACAGTAATGCGTAGACTGGAGAGGGGCAGCATTACCCCCAGAGACTTCCTTCATCCTCCTGTTCCTTCGTCTTTTCCTGCTTCCCTTCCTCTCCTTTCCCCTTGATATCCTCTTGTCCTTCCTACCCTACCTCTTGCACTTCCTTCCTCCCTCTCTTCGTATCCATAAATCTTGAACGTTACAACACTTCCCTCTGAAGCTCTCGGCACCGGTACCTGGCCAAGGTGCCTCCTGTCCCACCACCGCCTCTCACCCACATCCACCCAGAGATGGCGCCACCTGTCATCCACATCCACCCAGAGATGGCGCCACCTGGCATCCACATCCACCCAGAGATGGCGCCACCTGGCATCCACATCCACCCAGAGATGGCGCCACCTGGCATCCACATACACCCAGAGATGGCGCCACCTGTCACCCACATCTACCCAAAGATGGCGCCACCTGTCACCCACATCCACCCAAAGATGGCGCCACCTGTCACCCACATTCACCCAAAGATGGCGCCACCTGTCACCCACATCCACCCAAAGATGGCGCCACCTGTCACTTTAAAACATGGCTTCCGAGTGATAAATCTCCGGGAACAAATGAGCTAAAGTCAGCGTCCTGGTCATATTGTCTTTTGCGATCATTTGTGTTCTTATGGCAACAGTGCAGTGATAAACCTGCCACTGAGTAATGGTGCGCACTCTCACCCCACGTGTGCCTGAAGGCACTCCTCACTGTGATTACTCCACGTGTGCCACTATGTACTCTTCACTGTGATTACTCCACGTGTGCCACTATGTACTCTTCACTGTGATTACTCCACGTGTGCCACTATGTACTCTTCACTGTGATTTCGCCACGTGTGCCACTATGTACTCTTCATTGTGATTACTCCACGTGTGCCACTATGTACTCTTCACTGTGATTACTCCACGTGTGCCACTATGTACTCTTCACTGTGATTACTCCACGTGTGCCACTATGTACTCTTCACTGTGATTACTCCACGTGTGCCACTATGTACTCTTCACTGTGATTACTCCACGTGTGCCACTATGTACTCTTCACTGTGATTACTCCACGTGTGCCACTATGCCCTTTTATATAGCTATAGCTCTCTGCATAAAGGAGGTTTGGCTTTGGCCAAAATTATAGACCAGTTGCACTAGCATCACACATAATAAAAGTTTTTGAAAGAGTGATTAGGAATCAAATTTATAGTTTTATGGAAAATAATGAACTACAGAACCCAGGACAACATGGACTTAGAACGGGAAGATCCGGTCTGTCACAGTTACTCAACCACTATGACAAAATTATAGAAACCTTAGAAGAAAGGCAAAATGAAGATGTTGTCTACTCAGACTTTGCAAAGGTATTCAACAAATGTGCCCATGGATTGATAGCCCATAACATGAGATCAATAGGAATAACAGGTAAAGCGGAGCGTTGAATTTTCAACTTTAATTTTTCAACAGAATGCAGAGAGTGACGGTCAATCAAATAAGATCAAGCCCACGCGCAGTAAAAAGCTCTGTACCCCAGGGCACAGTCCTTGCACCGCTGCTATTTCTCATTCTTATCTCGGATATAGACAAAAATACTAGTCATAACTTCGTGTCATCTTTTGTAGATGATACAAAAATCAGCGTGAAAATTTCCTCTGTAGAAGATACTGAAAAAATGCAGGCAGATATTAATAAGGTCTATGACTGGGCAAATGAATATAACATGATGTTTTATGGGGACAAATTTCAAGTACTTAGGTGTGGTTGAAACGAGGAAGTTAAACGAAACACAGGGTACAGGGCACAATCAGACCTACTCATAGAAGGAAAGCAACATGTAAAAGATCTGGGAATTATGATGTCTGATGATCTGATATTTAGTGAACATAACCGAGTAAATATAGCAGCGACCAGGAAAATGATCCAGGGACCCCTCAGCAATGCTAATGCTATTTAAATCACTGGTGCTGTCCCGTCTTGAGTATTGCTCAGTACTCACTTCCCCTTCCAGAGCAGGAGAGATCGCTGAATTAGAGGGAATACAAAGAACATATATGTCACGCATAGAACGTATAAAACATCTAAATTATCGGGACCGTCTCAAAGCTTTCAAAATGTACACTTTGGAAAGGAGACGAGAAAGGTATCAAATAATATATACATGAAAGATACTGGAAGGACAGGTCCCAAATTTGCCCAGTAGAATAACAACATACTGGAGTGAAAGATACGGAAGGAAATGCAGAATAGAACAGTGAAGAGCAGAGTTGCCATAGGCACAATCAGAGAGCACTGTCTGAACATCAGAGTTCCACAGCTGTTCAACACCCTCCCAGCAACCATTAGAAATATTGCGGGAAGAAAGGTGGATGTATTCAAGAGGCATTAAGATAAGTTTTTGCAAGAGATGCCGGATCAATCAAGTTGTAGTGGATATGCGGTCCGCTCAAAGCAACAGCCTGTTAGACCAAGTCGAGTCTGACCTCAGGCCGGCCTCGGGGAGTAGAAGAACTCCCAGAACCCTCTCCAGGTATGCTCCTGGTATACTCAGGCATTGAGCCCGACGACTCTGGCTGGGTGTCTGGGACAAGTTACCTGAAGCGTTTTGAAGATCCCGAGCAGGCATTGAGGAGGGCCTCTCCGTTCTCTGCAGTAGTTTTTTTTTTTAAATTGCAATAATCTTCCGAAGGATGATATTATCCTTTTCACAAACGCAGTACACAGAGTGATTTCTCAATCCCATTTTCCTTGCATTATTGGTCATGATGGCACATTTTGTGTGTATGGCTGCGGAGCACTGTTGGCACTGAAAACTCTGCTGATAATTTACCTTCTTTCAACATTCAGTGCAAATCTTTACTGTCGACATTTTTATTATTTTCTGGTGCTTGGTGGTGTTTATGAGGGCAGCGGAGTCACTAGTGGTGGTGCTAACTTCTGTAGTGGGCTTCGTCTTGGGGTCTTAACTTTAGGTCTGGTGTTCCACAGAGTAGAGCCTCGGGTGGTGGTGACCTCACGCGGTTACCAACTCGGGTCACTATCTGCGGCCTATACTCTCTCGCAGCGGTCATTTTTACTTTGTTCTTCTCCAATGTTTCCTTCGAAAAAGACTGTTTGTTTTTTTCAAATAATTTTGGTTTCAGTCTGCTTGTAAGACAATCTCACACTATTATGCACTTTTCCACTGAGGCATTGCTTGTTCAGCTCTTCTGATTTGCAGAAAACATTGGAACACGCACGCACGCACGCACGCACGGTCTAACCCTCACCAAAAACCTTACCAAAAAATGGTATATGAAGGTGTGGTTTGTATTATATAATATACTTACCTAACAGTGACAACGGGGAAGTGAGGTCTAGCTCTTCATGCCCAGCCTACTAACCCTGTTTTACCCGTTGCGTTAAGACTTCACTATTCTAACATTCAAAATCTTTATCGAAGGTTTCCTTAAAGATATGAATGGAGGTGGCTTCCTCAACTTCTTCTCTTAGCGCATTTCATTTGTTGGCCATCCGTACAAGGTGCAAGTATATTTCCTTATATTTCTTCAACTCATTTGCGATTCCAGCTGCCATTTGTGTCATCTTGTTTTATTATCTCCCAACTTAAAGAGGCTGTCATTTCCCCTCAGTATCTTGTACGTTGTTAACATATCTCCTCTATTTTTTCCGTCCTCCAAGGTTGTGAGATCCAGTTCCTTCAGCCTGTCCTCATTACTTAACCCTCTAAGCTTTGCCACCAATCTAGTAGCAAACCTCTGCACTTTTTCGATTTTAGTTTTATGTTTCACAAGGTATGGATTTTAAGCGGGTGCTGCATACTCCGGTACTGGTCTAACACAAGCTGTGTAGATTGCTTTTGAACGCGTTCTGATTTAGGTTTCTTAACGACGTTCTAATGTTTGCCAGCGTCCCATATGCTGCCGATGTCACCCTGCCTGTGTGTGCCCCTGGTGTTAGTAATGGAATTATATCCACTCCCAAATATCTTTCTCTCAGATTCCTTCAGTTGTCTTTGATTAATGGCTTAGACACCTTCTGGTTTTCTTTCATCTCCCTTTCCTATCTTCTTTACCTTGCACTTATTAGGATTGAACTCCAGCAGTCATTTGTTTTCCCACTCCTGGAGATTAAGGTCAATCTGTAACATTCTGCAGTCCTCCTCTGTTTTTGCATTCTTCATTATCTTGGCATCGTCGGCAAACATTGAGATGTTCGAGCTGCCACATCTCCTGTGCCAGGCGAGTACGGCGGGGTCACCATAGACCGTGCTGCTTGAAACTGTTTGTTCCGAGTAGCTAAATCTAAAACAACAACAACAACGTACGAGCTCACTCCCTCAGGTTGATCATTTACATAAATTAGGAACAGTAGTGGTGCCAGGACTGATCACTGGGGGACCCCACTTGTTGTACTCTGCCAACTGGCGACCTCGCCTCTGGCTGTGACTTTGACTTCTGTCCTTCAAATATTCCCTTACCCAGTTTAGTATCTTCCCGGTTAATCTCAGCCAGCGTCTCCGTCTTGTACACGAGACTTTCATGAGGAATAGAATCGTGTTTTTTACTGTCCAGGAAAATGCAATCTTCCCAGCTTTCTTTTTTCTGTCATATTCTAGTAACCTTGTCATA